GTATTGAGGTAATAAAATAATTTTCACATTTATGGCGGGTTTATACAACTTCATATCATTAATTTATTTCATAATTTACAATTTAGTGCATAAGCATACATACAAGTTAAATCGCACTATAGTGCGATATATCTAGATATATCTGCTATGAAACAGTTTATACAAGGATTTAATGCGTAACTCACAATTTAGTGTTTATTGAATAACCTTGAAAGTTCACAAAATTTAACTTTTATCAAATAAATTGTGAATTATAAATAAAATTAAACCGCGCATGTGCCAACAATTTTTCTCTCTCCATTTTTTAAGGTTATAATTAATAATTATTGTGTTTTGTGTTTGTGTCTTAAAAAATACTACAAAACATGAGTTTTAATGAGGGATTTTGTGTTATTTGTCACTTTTAATCATCAATATTGTCATTTAAAAAAATAAAATAGGTATATATTAAATTAATGAACCAGATTTTAAAGTTATGTATTAAGTTATGCATTAAATTAACAATTGAATTATGAAATAATTTGTCCTGTTGCTAACTTCAGCCCGTGACTAAAGCGCCATAAAGCCACAACTTGTCAATGTGTATTTAAAAGGTCACTTAGAGTAGAAAAAGTTTTATAAAGCGTTAATAATATACAAAAACACGATGCGATTGTATGACTGTCACTCGAAACTGACGTTTTAGAACTAGCAAAAGGCAACTATGATGACTTATAAATAATCGACTAATATGATCCATGGAGATATTCCATATCCTGCCGACAGAGGCGGATTAAATGTCGAGAGCGCCCTAGGCAAGCACCTCATCGGCGCCCCTATATCGGCCATATATTATAAATTTTAACTAGTACTTACATAGTAACTAGCTGTGCCCTGCGGTTTCACCGCGTGATGCCCCATACCGTGGAAATTTCGGTCTCCAGCTATCTACATACCAAGTTTTATCACAATGGGTTTAGTAGTTTTTGCATGAAGAAGTAACACACACTTTAGCAGTTATAATATTATTAGGGTAGGTAAGTACAAGTGTCCTGGCGTATACTTATAATTAGGTATAGGCCAGGACACGTGTACTTACCCTTAGGCGTGAATGAAATATGTGATATACATTTCTATACAATTAACTTATCTTTTACATGTTAATTCTAAGTTTATGTTAATAAGGAGTACCAATACAGACGGCCAGTCGAGTAAATGTGCTCTCGAATTTGATCGCTCTTAAGTGAAGCTAATAATAATTTTTAAGGAAACATAAAAATCGCTCATATACAGTGTAGTATAAGGAAATGATTGGGCGAAATTAGTGCAAAGATTTACTACTTGGACAACGAAAATGAGTGTAGCTGTTGTCCAAAGTCTTAATAGAAACATTAAATTAGTGCATTATAAAGCAACCCCAACAAGTGAATATAGTGAATAAAGACCATACGGACACGGAAGTAATTAAGTGATAAATGACGGCATACCTGAAGATCTAACCCTAAGCCAATATGAATCACCTTATGTAGGGAACAAACTAGCCTAGAGTGGAAGGGGCTATCATCTGCAAAAATCTGATAAGTACCAATTAATCGCATGACGTAATACGCAAATTCGCAACAAAAACTTAACAATAATACTGAATACTGAAAACAGCGTAACAGTGTAAATAATTTAATCATTATGTAAGAACGTCACAAAACATAAATAATCATAAACTTAAAAGGCCAGCCCCAACAAAATTAAAATGTAAAAAACTTAGCAAACGAAAATAAAATAAACAAACAGTTCCGATATTTGCCTAACATAAACATAAACCACTAAACACCTCTAAATTTTAGGCATTGCATGCTGCTAGCTGTATAAGAGAGTTGGAAAAGCAAAGTTAAGAGCAATTATATAGAATAAATATTATAAATGTAACTTCGAATGGTTAGAAAAGAAAAAGAAAACGTAAATACAATTTCTACCACAAAATAAAGACAAATATCTATCGATAGTTCTCGACCCCTACACTGAGGAAACGGTTTTCGCAAAGTGGGGCAAACAATTGCTTACAACAGTTTCCAAATTTTAGCAGACTACAAGACCAGCAAAGATAGGTCCTAGCAGCGTACTAACCAACCAAACCTCATTCATGAACCCCAAATAAATGGGGGCATTACTAAATTCCGGATTCTACTTAGTTTTGCCTCCTTGTCCCGTATTCCACTAGCCTAAATCGGGCCTATGGCCGGCCCGGCGAAAAAGTTCCGGGAGTGGTCCATCCACACTGTCATCCACGACCTCCTAGGCGAGATTTACCAACCGGGTTAAAATGCGGATCCACCAAACACAGGTGATGCTGTTCAGTGGCGGGATAAGTAGGAGAACTAAAAGGAGGTGAAATAACCCTGGTAGATCAGTGCAAGGCGTGCCGATGGGACCTGCCATACGTTCCTTATACTCATACTCAATTTTAATTTTATGTTAATTATTTTCTTCGTTTCAAAACTCACGTGCGCGTGCTGATTAAATAATCAAACCAATAAGTTGTAAATCTTTCTTAAATAAATACCTACTCGGTGTTCATAAAAACTTGCGTTTTTTTCAAACATCGCGCCCCCTTGTAACCTCGCGCCCCTAGGCACGTGCCTAGTTTGCCTTGGGGATAATCCGCCTCTGCCTGCCGACCAAACAGGCAAAAAGATGCAGCTAAATTCTTTTTTTTTTTTTAAAGAAAATTTGATGAACGTTCTGGTACCAAATACTTTGCCTCACACCAACACACACCTAAAGAAATAGCTTCTGGATTGTAAAAGATTTATCTTCGTTGAAAGGCAATGGTAAAAGGTTTAGAAAAACTTTATTTTTGGTAAAATTTAGACTTTCATATGAAAGAACAAGGATAAGGAATGTGGTCAAATATACCATCATTTCCTTTCATTAATTACGCAAAACAATTGGTGTTGAAAATGGTGTTGAAAAACTTACATCCAATTTGCTCTAAAAAACCGGCACGAACAATGTGAACTTTTAAGCAAGTTTAAGCAGGCATTTTATCATAAAAAAATATATTTTTTAAAATATAATATACAGTATGTCTCAGTATCTTGGAATCATATGGAAAACTTTTTTATTATTAATTTTAGGAAAAAAAGTTATTCTTCATAAAAAGTTCTGCATGGTGTAAAACTTAAAATGCAACCCACAAATATTAATTTTTTTTAGTCGTATACGGGGTATGTCAAAAAATATGAATTTGGCTCAAGAGTAAAGTACCTTTATATTTGACAATATCGAAAATTGTTATAAAGAAAAGTTAATCAGAACTAAAAACTACGTTTAAATATGCAATTTCATACATTTACATTAAAAAATTAGGTTTTGTCAATTTTTACTAATCTTTCTATTTTAAAATGAACATTTATAAATCTGTTATGATTAGAAAAAACATGAAACCTTAAGTTAAGTCAGGGGATCTAGCAGGCCAAAAAGTATTAGAATATAAACAAATCATTTGTTTATCAGTGAATCCTAAATTACATGTTACAGTTAAATTTGCATTGATATTGTAGACAAAAAAGAAAAAATATTTTTTTTTAATGTAAATGGATGTAATTGCATATTTGAACGTAGTTTTTAGTTCTGATTAACTTTTCTTTATAACAATTTTCGATATTGTCAAATATAAAGGTACTTTACTCTTGAGCCAAATTCATATTTTTTGACATACCCCGTATACGACTAAAAAAAATTACTATTTGTGGGTTGAATTTTAAGTTTTAAACCATGCAGAACTTTTTATGAAGAATAACTTTTTTTCCTAAAATTAATAATAAAAAAGTTTTCCATATGATTCCAAGATACTGAGACATACTGTATAATAATCTCTGAGCTTTATTTTTTTAAAACTCGCAATTTAAAATTGATTTTCACAAAATAATGTTTTGTCCTCGATTATTGAAATTCCTCCCAGTGTGCTACGGGGCAGAATGGGGTTATCGGGCTTACACAATTCACAGACAAGTTCTGCATCGTCGTCATCACTCTCTATCCCCGCACACGAATTGTGAGCCCACTTTTGGCACTGTGTGCATAAAATCCAACCCTCAAATGAAGCTGAAAATGGGTATACAATATATGTATCGACTCACACAAATTTTCGATGAATTTCAATCGCAAATAACTTTTTTATTTGATGTCGGATTTAAACGAATATTAAAGAATATTGTAGATAAATTAATGGACAATCGCTCACATTTAAAAAAAAAACTAAAAAATAGACGTACGTTTATAATATACAGGTTTAAACAAAAAGATGTTTTTTACCACAAGTTTAAGACACTCTGTAGAGTGGCAAAACCGTATATTGTTCTAAATTAAGTTTTATTTATCAAGTCACATCTATTCTTAACAGTTTTGTTTTTGGTTCACCTCGATATATTTATTTTTGTGGAAAATATGGATTTTTTTAAAAAACATTGCAATTTCCAATATTTTTCTGTATGAAGAACTAAGGTTGCTATGGTCCATCCATAGTCTATGGAGAATGACAGTGACAGTTTTGTTGAATCATCCCATACTTGGACAATGTCCAATGGACATGTCATACACGGCTTTCAAAAGCTATCAAATTGTTTTTTGCAAATTAATGTTTGAATTTTGAGGTGTCTTCTTACTTTCAAAAATGGATATGTCTTCGACTGATGTTGCCAGAGCCATTAATTTAATCCAGGATGGACGCCCTACTGAAAATCTCTAGTAGAACCTAGTTGAACCGAGTAAAAATTTATATAGATAGGTATATTAAAGTGTGCTGCGCGTATGTATTTCTTTTTTTCTTAGTTTATACACATATTATAATATATACTTTCGCAAAATTGTATTGCTTTGTCACTTTGAAACCCTGCCTGATAGAAAAGTTCTGAAAACATATATGACATATGTGTAAAAAGTACTACCAAGTACACCCACTTAAGCTTGTGGGACAAAACAAATCTTAAATTTTGTTGCCCAGTGCAATAGTTTTTGTTTGTTTTAGACTTTCTCCGAGAAATGAAATTTTTAGAAGGAAATGATAATTATCAAACAGTATTTCCTTCGATTGGAAAAATTTCGAAGAATAATGTTAGTAGATTTAGTGACATACTTTAATAATAGAAAATTGACCAAATGTGCTAAATCAAGATTACACAATGTATTATTATTACACAATGTATTATTATTATTATTATTACAAATTTACAATATGTATGTATATTTGCAGACACATATCGGTCAAGGAATATGGCTACCAACAGAGCAGTTTAATTCTCTCATAGCTGCCCATCCATCAAAGAGATATGCCAGCAAGTTTGTAATGAGCTTGAGCTCATGTGTCTATGGAAAAGAAGTTCTGAAAAATTCATCTATAACTGGTCGTCCATGCAATTCCAAGCAAAACAGCCTGCCTAAAGATAAATTAGATGCAACCAAACTTTTGGCCATTAAAGGTTAGTATTTTTATTTTGAAAATTTACAAAATCATGAATTTATACTCTGGACATAAATATTTTTTTCACATTGCCTTCATAGCTCCCTGGATCCGTCACTGCAGTAATGTGCACATTATGCAAGCATATTATTATAAGATAGTAAATAAAATATATTTTTTAGATTTTTTTGAATGGTGGTTGAAACAGAAATGTAAGCTTAATGAAGTTCAAATAATAAGCTATGTCGCCAAAATGAATTCATATATAACAAACAAAATATGTGAGTTAAACAGGAATAAAGAACCCAGAAAAAGCATAGCAAAAGTAAAAGAAGACTCGGAAGAAGAAAAGGAATCAAAACTGGAAGAGGAATCGGAAGAAGAAAATGAATTAGAAGAACAAGATTCGGCAAAAGAAATAGAAGATCTCTCTGATCAAGCATGCGAATCAGATTAATAACTTAAGTTATAAATTTATAAGTAATAAATAGAAACAGTATGAGCGACTTTGTTTAAATAAAAGTATAGTAATTGCTAAACTACAGTAAGATTTTTTCATTTTTATTTTTTATATGTATATATATATATATATATTTTATTTATTTCTTACTGCCTAATTGATGAGTCGATCTACTTGAGTCAATATAAAGCAGCAAAAATATTTTAACATGTACTATATTCTACTGATCCGAGTTAAACCCTATTAATTCTGTTTCATTTATGATCGCCCCCTCCCACCCCCAAACCATGAATTTTAATTATTAAAATTAATTATTTGATTTAATAAGTAACCTTTTCTTGGCACTTATCATTATATATTTTACTTAGTTGTGATTCACAAGGGCGTAGATAGATTTTCTTTGGGGGGTGGCGAAGGCGATTTGATTATAAGTGCCAAGAAACGGTTACTTATTAAAACATAATTAATTTTGATAATTAAAATTCATGGTTTGGGGGAGGGAGGGGGCGATCGCTCCCCATATCTAATTAAACCGAGTTCAAACTAGTAAAAATATTTTACTAGATTCTATTGTGTTCCGAGTTCAACCTAGTAAAAATATTTTACTAGATTCTACTGTATTTAATTGTGCTCCGAGTTAAACCGACCTCATCCTGTTTCACTAACCTACCACAAGTAAGTAAACATTTTTACTCGGTTTTGGCCGGTACCGAGTAAATATCAAGTAAATTTTTGCTACTAGGTTCTACTAGAGATTTTCAGTAGGGCGGTCACAGTATTACGTGGCAAGTGTTTTAAACGTCATAAGAAGTTAAGTACAAAGGGCAACATCAGTCGGAGACATTTTTAAAAAAAAGAAGACACCTCAAAATTAACACATTAATTAACAAAAAACAATTTGATAGCTTTTGAAAGCTGTATATGACATGTCCAAGTATGGGATGATTCAACAAATCTGTCACTGTCATTCTCCATAGACTATGGATGGACCATAGCAACCTTAGTTCTTCATACAGAAAAATATTGGAAATTGCAATGTTTTTTAAAAAAATCCATATTTTCCACAAAAATAAATATATCGAGGTGAACCAAAAACAAAACTGTTAAGAATAGATGTGACTTGATAAATAAAACTTAATTTAGAACAATATACGGTTTTGCCACTCTACAGAGTGTCTTAAACTTGTGGTAAAAAACATCTTTTTGTTTAAACCTGTATATTATAAACGTACGTCTATTTTTTAGTATTTTTTTTTAAATGTGAGCGATTGTCCATTAATTTATCTGCAATATTCTTTAATATTCGTTTAAATCCGACATCAAATAAAAAAGTTATTTGCGATTGAAATTCATCGAAAATTTGTGTGAGTCGATTATTTTGCACTCAAGTGTATATATATATATATCGAAAAGTTATAAAACTAAACACAATTTCACCACGTTTAGTCTAAAACACACTAAAACGTTTGTAGTAACCCGTTTGTCATTACCAACTGACGTTTGGCCTTCTAGTGAATGATAACAAAGGACGATAGTACTATCGATCGTCTGTAGCGGGAAATTTAAATAAAATACCGTTCTGCCCCGGTACCCCGTTCTACCACATACTTAAGTAATTCCACACATATACAAATCATTTCTAACTGAGACTGTTTCCATTTCGTGGGGGTAAAGTAGGGGAAATGTTCTCACAGGGTAGCGGGCATTGAGGCGCATGCGTCAGCTGCATTGCCGGTTTAAAAAAAAATAACATATTTTTGTCCCTATTTAAGAAGTATAATAAATACTTTTTAATAAATTGGATATAAATTGTATGAAAAAAGCAGTTAACAATAATAAACTCACAAAATGATGATATTTTAGATTTTATAATGGCATTTTTATAAAAGCAAAAATTTGGCAACATCGTATTTTGATCACGATTATCGTATCATAAGGCGCATTTTATTGAAAGTGGAATGGAATAAAAACAGAATAATTCCCGTTTGCAAATTCATTCTGAGCCCTGTCACTTTGCCAAAGGTGGGGGAATTTATGAACCTAATAACCAATTGTGTGGATTGTGACCTCAATTTTCTTTTTAAAGTTTAAAAATATGGATAACGCACAGTTATTACTTGCTGGGTTTATTATAAACCATAATAGAAACGGTTGTTAAATGCACTTTTTTCAGGGGAATATCCCCCCACTCTGCCTCATTCTAAAGATTCCAAACAAAAGTAAGGAATCATCGGAATGACATTAATGACAGAAGAATCATTCTGTGACTCAAAAAAACAACCATTCATTTAATAATTATCAATTTTGTTTGTTTTCTGTTGTATACCAATTGTTTTGGCATTGTTTTTTTCCATTGTTTTAACGAGACTTTAGTGGATTTTACATAATATGCATATTATGCCACTTTTTGCTTTTTATAAAGCAAAATCACAAAAATGTTTGTAAGCTTAACCCAGGCTATGGAACCAAATAATTTAGAAAAATTTTATATAACCTAAATTTTGTTTAGTTGACAATTCGTATCATAAATGGACGTATTAATTTCTCTATCTAATGTTATGTGATGTCTATGGTATCATATATTTTAAATCCCCCACTTATGAACTGACTATGCGCATAAAGGAAAATAGCACACTACGAGAACAAATTTCCCCTTAGAAGCGGGAACAAGGTCATCTATACAAAATATAGGCAATAAGCGGTATATGTGTGGAAGTATGTGGTTCTACCCCGGTCTCCCCTACTTAATTATTGCTATACCTTAAGTATGCTATAGGGTCAGTCAAGTTGCCCCCCACCCAATCGTGCAAACCCCCTCTACTATACATCATAATTTTGCACACATTTTGCACAATTTTGCACACTCCTTCCTAAATTTTGCACACACCCGCTTTGGAAATGGCAAGAAAAATCAACTTGACGCTTGCCCCCCCCTTTGCTCCAACGAACTCTACTTTTCGTCATCATAATCTCCTAATTTTGAACACCTCATTTCAAATTTTGCACTTTATTCCTCAAGGTGCCTCAAAAAGGAAGAAATTCACTTTTTTGTGCTATCCTGATCCTCTATATATAATTTTGCACAATTTTGCACACCTCATTTCAAATTTTGCAGACCTATCTACCCATCCCCAAGGCAACCCAAAAAAATTACTTACTAGACCCCCCACTGACAAAATCCACTTTGTTTTTATGCTATCCTGATCCTCCAATTTTTCACAATTTTGCACACCTCATTTCAAACTTTACAACTTTTTCAAATCTAGCCTACCCCCACATTAACGCCCTCGTCCACTGTGTTTGTTTTAGCAAAATACTAGTACAATTCTACTAGTATTTTGTTAAAATATTAATACAACAGAGAAATACAAAAAAAGTGGAAACAAAACAAGTATTCAACTCGATTCAACTACTAATATTGGGACAAAATTTGACAATTCACCAGAAGAAGACTCGCTTTTAGTTTTGGTTTCGTCATAGATCTCCCAACGTTAGGTCCAATATAACCAATCAATCCTCGCAATACGTACGTCTCGTTGCACACTGTTTTCTTTGGTAAATCATCCAACGTACTTTCCAAAGTAAAAACTGTTTTATTGGGATTTAAAGGTTCGATCAGAAGGTGTGTTAAACTAATTTTAGGTTTCAAATTCTGAAAACCTTGACATGTGTCACAACCAGGGACCCGGACCGAAACCGAAAAAAACCGAAAACCGGAACGGAACCGGTTTTTTTTTCCGAACCGAAACCCGAACCGGAACCGTTTTCGCTTTTGATAAAATCTGTTGGACCGGAACCGAAACCTTTATTTGCTTTCATTCTAATAACATTATATAACATATATATATGTGAGGTTATAGATTAAAATTACGTAAAACAAATAACCTCACTGGAACCGCTTAAAACCGAAAAGAACCGAACCGTTATAACTCCACGAAACCGAAACCGGAATCGGAACCATTAAAACGAAAATAGGGTGAACCAAAACCGTACCGGAACCGATATTTCATTTCGGTCCGGGTCCCTGGTCACAACTAGGGGTGTCAATCCCGAGCCCTTTTTCCAATCCCGGGACTTTCGGGACCAAAGGTAACTAATCCCAGGATCCCGGGAACGGTCCCGAAAAAATATATATCGTTAATTTTAAAACCAATTTAACATAAAGGAACAAACCAACCAACGAACGATATCTTTCGTACTTTACCCTAGTTGAAGGAATGATTTTCAATAATTCGTAGGCACATTGTACCAGTGGCGGCTCGTGCCTTCCGCGCTGGGGTAGGCGACGGCCAACAAAACAAACTCTGTTTAAAAAAACTACCACATAACCATCGATGATTCTCATACCATTGCTTTTTAAACGATCGAGAAAAAGTTGAACCATGTTTTTTATTAGGTTTTAAAAGATTTAGATGTGGAATAGGGCGATCATTAATCATATCATCTTTTCGATCGTTTTCATTAAGGCGAGAAAATGGATTTTCAAGTAATGAGCAAATAATGTCATGAAATGGGCCCTCCATTATTGCAAAATAATACCCTTGTTTATTAAACAAGGCTAATAATCAACGCTAATACTACCTACCTATTAGGTAGTAGGTACCTAATTCTAATACTAACAAATAATAATAAATAATGATACAGTAATACTTAGCGGGTAATTAATTTCCTGACACAGTCACAAAAATAAAGTGAACAATTGTTTAACTTAAAAACATCTAATTGACAGAACTAAAATGTAAAAGAAATCTGCTTAAAAGCCCTTTATCGTTCGAATTTATCTCAACAGATGTCACTATTTTAAATTAATTATTTATTATATTAATATATTCTTGCAAATGATGTTATTTACAGGACTTTTAATATTAAATTCATATTATATTCTGAACCTCTTGAATTGAGATCGATCATTTTATCGATTACCGGCTTAAAAAAATAACTTATACTGGCAAAAACAAGTCGGAAGCCGAATCGGCTTTCGGATTAGCCGAAGGCGAACAATCGTGTCGCCTATCCATCGCAATTTTACCATACGTCAACGG